CACCATTATGATCGCTTCTCTTTAATCTAAAAGTAAGTAGTGAGAAGTTTGCTCCGATACCAATTGGTGGTCCCAAAGTGGTGAGATACAAAGTCTAGAGGGGGGGGGGTGAATAGACTTTGTAACAATTTAAAAACTTTTTCGTTTCTTTTGAAAACGTGAAAATGAGTGGTTAATCTAGAGTTCTTGTGAACCTTAGATTGTGTGCGGAAGTTGGTGGGTAATTGAGCAGTAATCAATATGGATGAGTTAGTTTTCACAGTTAATATAATTGCAAGTATGAGTAAAGATAAAAGAGAGAGACACGCAAACTTTAACGAGGTTCGAAGGTGGGGTAATCCTTCTACGTCCTCAAAATCTACTATGTAGTTGGTTGTTGAATAACGAACCAACAATTACACTTGTGTGAATTTCTGCACGATATATCTTCGCAAGGCCAAAGTTGTTACTGCACTCGTGCTGGCTTTGTTGTTCCTTCGAAGGTTAAGCTTCTTCAACAACTGCAAGATCCGAACAATAGGACTTGCAAGATCAACTTGTAAGAAAGTTGATGCACCCCGTTTTAATCAAAGAGTTTGATTAAAAGTTGTATCTTTCAACGTGGTGTGGTACTTGAGGCAAGGAAACCTTCAAGTGTTTACACTATAGCTCTTTGGAAGGAGGAGAAGTTTGCTTCTGGATAAGGAGTTTAGAAATCTCTCTTTTTCAAGCTTTTTGGCTAACTGTGAATGAGGTAGCTTTGTGGTTTGAGATTGCTTCGTTGTGTTCTACTTCTTCCAGTCTTCCAAGGATGCTATTTATAATTTGATTGGGTAATCTATCCGTTGAATCAAAATAGACTATCCGTTGCATTTGCTGGCTTCAATTTTGAACGAAGAGTGAGACTGAGGATTCTTCATTGGAATGGGTTTTTGGACATATCCAATTGTTTGAAGAAGGATTCCTTTTTCCACAGAATCTGTCTTCTAGCTGTTGTTCAAGAATTCTGGACTGTAGCTCTTTATTGAGTGGAGTACTCAGTTTGTCTTCTAGTGCTTGTTTAGGAATTCTGGGCGAGCTCTTTAATTTGAGAGGTCCAGACCTTGTCTTCAAGTCATTTGTTCTTGAATCAGCTTAATTATCCTCAATCTATCCGTTGAAAATCAAGAGATTGATTTTTCCTTACCAACGGGTAGAATTTCTTCATTCAAGACTTAGAATTTTTCTAAGTCCTTTTCTCACTTGTCTGCTTCTGAGAATTCCGATCTTTCTTGAGGCATCCGGTTCTTTGCTGACAAATCCGGAAAAGTCATTCTTAGACTTCCAGGTGAGAGAGAGATCCGCGCTAGTCTTCCGATCCGGATGACTTAGCCTTCAGCGGGTTGTAGTGAGACATCCGGTTATCATGTAGTGTTCTAGAATAGAGGATCTTCAAAGTAATCAACTGCTTTGAGAATTTCTTATTTGTCTCTGACATTTCCGATCAAGAATTCCAATTTCCATATCACTGAATTTGATTAAGTCTTCAAAGATTGACATCAAACCACAGAGTGAAATATCACAACTTTATTGGAAATCTCAAGAACTCGGTTTTAACAATATTTCTAAAAAGAAAAATTACATTGAATATGGGGGGTGACCTAAAGTCCCTATTACAATCTAAATACATCATCATCAAAATCTATAATATTTTTCCCAACACCCCTCCCAGCCCAACTCCCTCTCCCCCTCCCAGCCCCCCACGGCCCACAAACCCCCCCAACCAGCGGCTACTGCGACCCAACAACCC